CCCTTGGCTGCCACTCACCTGTCCGGCGGCGGCGGCGGCGGCGGCGTTTCTTCCGAAGCCGCCGCGCCGGGGACACCTGGCCGCCTCCGTGGCTTCACAGCCGTTCCTTGTCGGGTCCTCGGCTTGGGAGCGCTGTGGAATCCACGTTCTTGAGGGATTTACTTCGTCGTGCGTATGTGTGTGATCACTCCGTCCATGGGCAGGTATATATACAGTATACTGTATATGAGGGAGGACGCCCTCGGCCCCGCCTCCACCACCGTAGGCAAAGGAAGCCCAGAGTCATTGCCGGGAAGCCGTGCCAAAAGGGCCGGGAGCAGCACGCAAAAAAAGGGCAGGAAACGGACCATATTGCGGAAGGGGGGGGGGATGAAATCAGCCCCCAACGGCTGCGGATCCTTGCCCTGCTGACGCCCTGCTTGTCGTCGTCGCCGCCGCCGCCGCCCCCTTGATCCCTGTCAGTGTTTGGATAGCCAAGGAAATCCCTGGGCAGGTGCAACAGCCCCTCTCTTCTACTTAACCAGCTGGTTCACGAGTTAAAATAGGCACCGCGGGGTTGATTTTTTACGCATCTCCCCCTCTACGCAAGTTGCTGACGTAGCTTCTCCCATCCACCAGCGTCACCTGACTTAAAAAAAAGAGAGAGAGACCCTTTGTGATTAGAAATGAAGAAAGGAAATCGGTTTATGTCTTATACCAGATCCCAGTTAGGAAAAAAAAAAGGAAGGGCAGAATAAAAGAGAAATAAAAAGAGGAGGAGGAAGAAAAAAAATGCAAGTGGCTTGTATAGAATCGGCAGCCAGGCCGAACCATTAAGCAGTGGAAGAGCTTGCCTCTTGGTGATGTGGGTGCCCCATCGCTGGAGGTTTTCAAGGAAAGATTGGACAGCCATCTGTCCAGGATGGTCAGGGATGGTATGAGGGCTCCTGGCTTGGGCAGGGAGTTGGACTAGCAGACCTCCAAGGTCCCTTCCAACCCTACGACGATTCTATGATCATATAATTCTATGATTTGCCAACATTTTATATCCTGGTATCAGCAATGCAATGGTAAATTTGGAAGTGTGGGTGCTCATTATGGTAATTTTCCATGGCTAGTCTTCTCCCAGAAGGATAGTCTTATAAAATGCGAGCAGCTGGATTGAACCATACCAACAAATAAGGATCAAGTCCTTTGTAAATTTAATGGCTCTTTCTTGCCAGGCCAAATCATCCTTCAGTACTTTGCAGGGACAGCTGTGATTTCAGTTCTTCCTGCTGCCCTAAGAATTGTAGATGTGCAATTTGAATGTGAAACAGGAAACATCCCAAGGCCAGGATTCCCAAGGGATACAGTTGTGGGATGTGTCCCATGCATACTTTGGTCCATGAGGAAGGGCAAGCTGGTGTGTGATTGTGGCCAGCCCTGCTCTCCCCCCACTTTCTTGGAGCTGGAGAGCTGTTATCAGCAGACTCAAACATTTGCATATGGTTCCCCTAACTGAGCCCACCTGATTGCTCCTTGCCACTTCCTTGCATGTGATGCCAACCCTCTTTCTGTGGGATGGCCCCATGTTATTCCCTGCTGTCTCCTAGCTCATGATCAGTGGCAAGGATAGTGACTACAGCTGTACAGAGTTGTACTGAGCAACAATTCTTAGACTGTGCTTTCCATGGATCATAGGGACTGTAGTCTATCTTGACACTATACAGCTCATCTGACTTTTCTGTTGTCCACCATCCTGCCCTCTTTTATGGTTGGGTCATGTGCAGAGGCTCCACTTGGACTCTCCCTTCCCTTCTTATGACTGAGTAACCTTATTGGGTCCTTCCCACCCCATCAGCTTTGTGGCTCATGTTTGGAAGAGGCAGCTAGAATCTATCCCGCTGTCATCCGAGCCCCCTCAGCCTGATGGGTCGTGATTTGACAGCCACCGTGGCCTTCTCCCAAAGTCAAGGCATTCGCCCAGCTTGTGATTGGGTGGCAAGGCCTGCATTTACTTCCCACCTCCACCTCCTAGTTGAAGGCAGGCTAGGGATCACTCCCCACCCTTCCCTTGACGTTATGAATTAAAATGGCAGGGGGGTGTTCTCATTTTCCTGCAACATTGTTCCCTAAGAGAATGGCCCTGAGCTTCCTCGAGCAGGATCAGTGGGGAGGAGCTTGAAAAATAGTGTGCATGGATATTGGTATCTCCCCTCAAAAGCACCTTTGTATCTTAGACAACTAGATTATGTTTAAAGGAAGATTTTTAATATTAAATACCTTACAAACTGTTATTGAAAATATTTCCATATTGCTGTTTGATTGGCGTCCTCACTTGCAGTTTTCTTTGCTTTTATCCGAGCATCATCAGCTGTGTGATTTATCCTTAACCATCTTTGCACTGTAGGAGTAGGATTCCATTCCTTTAACAGTAGGCCGATTAGACTGATAATCATTATGCTTGATATACTGGAAACAGGCGACTTCTCTTCTCAGAACATATAATGTTCATCTTTGAAAAACCCCTTTCTGATTCTGCTGAACTTACAGCAATTGTTCTGACCATATTTTTAGCTCTTTGAACACTTTCAGGAATTGAATAGTTCTGGTAGTTTTTAAAAACATTTTCCACAAAATCCTGATACTCGTTAATATCAATTTTGTAATTGAAAAATGTATTAAATACATGCAATTGCTCTTCAGTTGCTTTCCATGGAAAGCCTTTCATGCATCAGTTAGCTAATGTAAGTAGCATTAATTATGTGTTCATTTATCTCAAGTTCTAATTAGTCAAACGCTTTGCACAAGATCCACCCACCCAAGTTCCTAGTACAAATGAAAACAGGAATAATATGAATGAGATTTTTTTTTCTCGTTTGTTTGGCATCCTCTGTAGGAGGATTTGTTTGGTATTGCTTCACATGTTTTCTTGGAGTTCTGTGAGACTGTATCTTTTAAATAAACATACAGATATTTGAGTAAAGATGCAGAGGTCTAAGATGTGGCTTATCTTAACAGCATTTGTTCTACAAATTTTCATTCCATTCCATAATGCTGAGATATGGTTAGAAATAATCATTTCATTTCGAGTCTGTATGTTAATTTCTTCAAGTTACACATTTTCCAGAATAGCCATGTTAGTCTATTCCAAAAATTACTAAAGTCTTGGGGCACTATAAACAGCAATACATTTTTTATAGCATCAACTTTTCTGGCATTCAGCTGACATGGTGGAGGCAGATGTTGCAACTTCCCATCAGATTTCACGGCAAGACCACTGGCAACTAGCAGAAATTACTGTGTATTTTGGCAACACTAGATTTGGATCAGAGAAATCTAACCACAGTCGTCACTCCAACAGCAGACTTACTGGATAGTTTTTGACAAATTCCCTACCTTTAAACCTGTTTCTCATACCTAAAAAGAAGTAATAAGGTGCTACTGAGAAGCACAAAGACAAAAAGGGTTGTACATCCACAGATGCCACAGAAATAGCAAAATGGAATAATGCAGAACAACATATATTACACAATTACCACATTGTTAGTTTGTAAATAAAATTCTAGAGACCAGCGTTGAATTTGGCTGGTTTGCTTGCCTTTTTATAGACATTTTAGCAACATTTTTGCATTATATTTATTCCCTCTCTTTCTCTACTGGCACCTAGGGTAGCTCTGCATATACACATTGTATTAGATAAAACATTAGCAATGAGAGGACTATTAGCAAAAAAAAAAAAACTTCTATTGGAAAAAATGTGGGCCACACAGAATTGAAGCATTTATTCTGCAGAACCGTGCAATTCAGGGGGTGAGGGGGAATCAGGCACTTGATGTGTAATGCGTGTCTGCACAGACCTTCTAAGCATATGGAGGTGCACCTGCTGCAAGTCTTTTAAAAAAGGTAGGAAGAAGTCCAGAAACTAAAGGGGGTTAAGGCAGACCCAATGTGCTTCCATAAATACCATATTTGGGCACACTTCTGCAGCTCGTGTACATTGATGTGTACACAGAAGGAAAATGAATTCAGTGACACCTTATCAGCAGAGTTCCACAGTGAATTTGCTCCTCTCCTGTCTGGCTGACAAGGTTCCTCCTGCCTAGGCAGGAGATGTTTCAGCTGTTCCTCCTAGTACTGTCCACTGTCATTAAACAGTGCAATACCTCAAACTCAACAAAGCCAGGGCTGCGAGCTCACAGTGGTCTTGTAAGCCATGTGGACCACATGTGACCCTGTGAAGGCCACATATGGTCCACATGGAGTAGCACCCCAACATTCATATTTCTGTAACCTTCAGCACAGAAATTCCCACAATGCTGCAGAGGAGCACAGTTATCTTCCATGAAAAGACTGCCTTGTGCAAAACTGATGCTCCAGCAATAGTTAGTAATCAGTTACTATCGATGGCAGCCCTTCCACATCTCTCGGGCAACCATGCAGAAGAGAAAACTTTGATAAGCACAGCATATCATGATGTTAAAATTCCTAAAAAGATTGATATTGGAGGATGGTGGATGCTGCCTCGCCCTCCCTCCCTCCTTCCCTCCTTCCCTGCCTGCCAGGGTTATGAGGCTGTCCAAGCACGAGGCAATGAAAAGGAGAGCAGGGGAAGGAAGACTGTCATGGTTTAGGTTATTGAGGCTAAAATGTAATTTCTTAATGGGATTTGTAGTCGTGGAATTGTGTAGAAGGAATCCATATTGGTCTGTGTTAGCATAACTAGATGCTTCGAGAAGCTGTTTTCTCTTAGAGCTAGTTGGCATTTTCCATGTAGCAAGCTTGGCCAGAGATGATAAGGGTCAAGACAGAACATCAGGAAGATGGTCAACAACACCTACACATCCCATGAGAAAAGGAGGTGGAGAATGGAGAAATAGCCCTTCCTTAGTCCTGATTGGGTTACGTCACAGGAGGTTAGAGAAGAAGGGTGGTTCCAGCATGGAAGAAAAATGGAAGAATGGTGACAGAGAGAGAACTGGATTTTTAGAGTGATTTTTGAGTTGTATTTTTGAATGGACTTTGGAGTTCCTATTGCTATTTTTTAGAGCTTTTTAAAGAGTTTGTTATTTTATTTTTATAGCTGGAATTTACTATAGTTCTAACTGCCTTGATTTATGGAAATGTACTTGAATGCTATGCTTTGCTACAAACTGAATATCTCTAAATACTTAATTTTTCTAATAAAACAATAATTCTTAAAAACTTATTTTTGGTCTCTTGAGCAGCAAACCTGCATAATTATTTTTGGGGGGCCACATTTAAGCTACTTGGGTCCGTTAATTGCCTGAGTTTTGTTCGTCTTGGCAGACTCCAAAACTCATGATAATTATCTGTGGTTTTCTCTCAAGTAATTGGTAATTGGAACAGACTTGGGAAAAGGAGCTAGTGGGACTGCCTGGCTGAGAACCAGACTCAACTCAGCTAATTTAGGAGTACACTTTGCCCCTTGAACCTCTCTGTTTCGGCCACAGAAATCTCTTAGGAGGCTGCGTGCTGACAAAGACAAGGTGGCAGAGTGCTGGGCGCATTCTGCGGCGGGGACTGTTCAGGCTCGCTCCGCGCTGCACCCAGCCGGACACATCTTGCCACTTTCTCAGACTAACAGCTGCCGCTGCCGCTGCCAAAAGGACAAGGGACCGAGGGAAAGAAGAGCAAGTGCGGGAGGGGGACTTGGCAACCTCTGCCTTCCTTCCGTGAGGGAGCAGGTTGGCTGCTCTGTCGGCTGGCTGTCCCTTTGGCCAACAATAATTCCCTGCCTCCATCCCTCCTGTTTTTTCCCCCTTGCCTGACGGTTTCTTAGCGGCGAGGCAAAAGGCCAGCCAGGGGCTGCACAGCAGAAGCAGCAGAAGCAGGGGCGAGGAGAAGCAGCAGGAGCAAGGAGCAAGGAGCAGGGGAGAGTGACCTTCCCTCAACACCACCACCAGCAGCAGCAACGAGAAGAGGAAGAGGACATCGACAACGACAAAGAGGAGGGGGGAGGAAGCAGACGCGACCGCGGAAGAGGAGCAGCCGCGATTACGTCAGGGGGGCGCTAGAGCCAGTGGTGGGATTCAGCAGGCCAACAAACGGTTCTGCAGAATTGATAGTACATTAGGTATCGGCTCTGTAGAACCGGTGTGAACCAGCTGAATCCCACCACTGGATGCCAGCCCTAATTGCTCCCAAAGGACAATAAAAGTCAGCCTGCCTTGAGAGTGGAGACAGGGAGGGGCAGTGAAAGTCTGAGTCTGCAAACCATCCCATGATCACTTATCCAGGCCTCATGTGATCTGATGTGCCATACATGTGAGGTAGAGATATATAGGCTTGCAATCTGAATTTTTGCTTTATTTTAAAAGAAGTAACTCTATCTGAAAGATGGGATGTTTTCTATAGGTGTTCAGAGATGTTGTGTCCCAAGTTTATTTTTGACCTGTTCCTTTCTCAGTCAGTCCCCATCTAGAAGAAAGGCACTATGGTCAGGTATTTTACTCAAGTTAGCAGTTATTACATTGCTGTTATTGAATAGTCTACAGTATAAAGGTAAAGGTTCCCTTGACATTCTTAGTCCAGTTGTGTCCGACTCTAGGGGGCGGTGCTCATCCCGTTTTCAAGCCATAGAGCCAGGGCTTGTCCGAAGACAGGTTCCGTTGCCATGTGGCCAGCGTGACTAGGGAACGCTGTTTTACCTTCCCATCAAGATGGTACCTGTTTATCTACTCACATTTGCATGCTTTCGAACTGCTAGGTTGGCGAGGAGCTGGGACAAGGCGACGGGAACTCAACTCTGTCACGTGGATTCGATCTTACGACTGCTGGTCTTCTGACCCTGCAGCACACAGGCTTCTGCGGTTTAGCCCACAGCGCCACCACGTCCCTCTTCGTCTATGGTATCATACTAAAAAGAAAGCTTAGTCATTTAGTTTAGAAAGTTTAATATGATTTTCAACATGCAAAACACTTTCCATATAGATTCTCTTACAGCAATTAATTGCAATTCTGCATCAGGTGCACAAGTTACAGTTTCACCTACTATGTATTATTTATATTTGCTTGTATTAATTTAAATTAGCACATGCAAATTATATGAGAATATTGTCTTTTTCCTTTTTGGTGATCCTTGTCCTCCTTCTTGGTGATGCAGAAATGGCGACTCTAGGTGTTGCTACCATTTTTCTTAGTGAATATGTAAGGGTCATAACTTCAATTCCATGCTTAGTCATTAAAAATTAGAACTTTGGTGAGGGAGAACTCTATATGTTATGGTGCTGACAGTGTTATGATAGAGAGATCATTTGATAGAATGCAGGCACAAAAGTATAGCTGCGCTGAGGAGATTACTATAGTAGTACATACAAATATATGATGCTGTGCTTAATATATATCCCTAGGATATATGGCAAGGTTCTGCAGTTTTGTTACTAAAACTCTCTCTATCACAGAGTGCTGTCCTCTGAAGATGCTGGCGAAACGTTAGGAAGAACAACCTTCAGAACATGGCCGAAAAACCCACAACAACCATTCTCTCCCCCCTCTCTCCCCCTCCCCCCCTCTCTCTCACACACAGAGAACCCTTTTCTCATGTTGAATGTGATTACTTGGCAAATATTCAGGGGTTTCAACACAAGAACACTCACTCTCTTGCACTAAGGAGAGGAAAAGACAGAACTTAGGAAAGCTATCTGCAGCTGTTGCTTTTTTGATAGATATTTTAGATCTGTCTTGTCACTGCAAAGCCACTGCACTAAATTTTCATGGTTCCTTGGCTCATGTCACTAACCTACATGTATTTGTAAGGAGTATTATAGATTTATACCCTACTTGCTCATTATTAAACATGAGCGGAAATTGTAACTTTATATAACTGATTTCTCCTAAACAAAGAGGCAGGCAAAAGTATATACATTGAGAATATCTGTTTCCAAAACAAATATGCAGACATTTCTCTAGCTAACCAGAAACTCAGTATTTTCCAGCTGGTCAAAAAAGTACAAAAAACCATTTGTCCTTTTAGTAGTATCTCAAAACCATTATTTCTGTATTGCTAATCAGAGCTCAAGTTATATACACTATCAAACATGAAGACTTCATGATGGCATACTGTCTTTCCATCTTCTTTTTTACTTCTTTTTTTCTACTTATATAAGCACACTGATAGCACTAACTTTCTTGCCAGAGAGCTAGCTGTTGCTGTGAAAGGGCTAACTGAACCAGTAACAAAAAAGTTTGTTTATTAGCCTTTCACCTTTGCTTTCCATTGTTTTGTTTGCATACATTGTTTGAAAGCCATAACTCTACCACACCCAAGCACAAAGACTACCTAGTAATGTTGAGAGATTGGGTACGCAGTGACAATGCCAACCTACGTGAGGCAAAGTATTAAAAGGAAAAAAACCTTGATACATTGGACATAGGTAAAGGTAAAGGTTCCCCTTGACAATTTTTGTCCAGTTGTGTTCGACTCTAGGGGGCGGTGCTCATCCCCATTTCCAAGCCATAGAGCCAGCGTTTTTGTCCGAAGACAATCTTCCGTGGTCACATGGCCAGTGCGACTTAGACACGGAACGCTGTTCCCTTCCCACCGAGGTGGTCCCTATTTATCAACTTGCATTTGCATGCTTTCGAACCGCTAGGTTGGTGGGAGCTGGGACAAGCGACGGGAGCTCACTCTGTCGTGTGGATTCAATCTTATGACTGCTGGTCTTCCGACCCTGCAGCACAGGCTTCTGCGGTTTAGCCCACAGCGCCACCACGTCCCCACGTATGTCATTGGACATACTTTATATATATTCTAACCTCTAGGCTGGAAAGGAGTCAAGATATGTAGCTAAAATGTGTAGCCTGCCTTTGTATCTTTCACTTGTAGTTTCAAATATTTTCTCATGAGCAATAGGAGCCAAGAAGTCCCTCTATTCATGGATACCTAGTTGGGATCCAAGCCAAAGTTGAAAGGGCTGTTGAAAGGGAATCCCTTTGCCTCGAGGCATTCAGTAGCAGCAAAGTACTGTATCTCTTTCTTCCTCTGTGTTACTTTGGCATTGGCTGGTTCCTGGGCAATATCTCTTTGGGAGGAAGTACAGGAGTCTGCTAAAGCAACTGGAGGGCTTGTTTACATTTACATTTGCCTTGCAATAAGCTAAATGGAATCAATTTAGAAATCAGATGGTAGTCACATTGTTTATGGGGCAGTGTATGCGTCCTCTTGGGAAAACCTTTCCATTTAAGGTTTTGTCCTGCGCCCACCTGCCCTGCTGTCACGCTGGCCACTTGCCCCTGCTGCTGTGGTGAGGAGAGAAAGACGGATCCAAGCATGGGTCCTCATGAAGCCACATGATTTTAGCATGGGATCTGCCCTGCAACACTGCCAAATCAAAATGAACAGCCGCTGGTGGAGACACCCTCCAGTACAGAAAAACAAAAAGTCCGGGGAGGGGGAAGTTCTTGTATATCATGTAGACAACCTTTTAAAAAAATGAATTAAATCTTGTTAGACCCAGTTCAAGTCCCATTTCTAATGTAAATAAGCCCTGATTTTCATTTCCTGCTTGCCAGATATGAACAGTTGCTTTGTGAGTCCAGCATGAAATGTAGCCTGCCATTCTGATATTACATTAAAGGGACTTGTAAGTTTTTTCTTCTGTAGAGTTGCATTTGTTTGTAAAATTTAGCACACAGGTTGCATTTTAGATCGTAATAGGTCTCTACATATCTAACTTCCTAAATACAGACTTAAGAGCAAAACCTACAGTAGGATTTTGGAGCAAAAGCAACAGCAGGAATCAAACTGATTTGGATCTGATCTTTCAATTTCTACCCTACTTACATTACAACGCCAGGCCAAAGGGCATGATTGCTAACTACTGTACACTCATGTCTTTGAGACAGCAAGAATGTTGACAGTTTAACTTACCCGCTTGTGGGTAGGGTGAAATTCTTCTTGGCAACAGATGGTATGGAGATTTAAAGTTGGATGACACAAGATAAGTTTACTATGTCAACTTGTTTACTCAGGGTAAGGAGAACTGAGTAAACAGGTTGACACACTATACTCCCTAGAGATGGTGCTATTCAACAAGAGTTCACAGAGCAAAGTGCTGTACAGTTTGATCATAGACTGCTGATAAATGCAATGTAGATTAATTACTGTAACTAGAGAGACAAGAAACAGAGTTACATGGGACAGTGAGACCACTGAAGTTTCACGGACAAATAACCAAGGAATTATGTAGTGTGACTACCGTGATTAACGACATAGCATCCCCTCTCCTGCTGGAAGACTGAGAATCATCATCATTGCCTGATGCTTTTCAGGGTTACTGTCAATGAACATTTCTGAGCTAAATGCACCTCTGAAAGGTCTACTTAACGCAGTCCCATCTTTACAGCTTGAATACCTGTTAATGGTATGCCCATGAAAGGAAACTGCTGAGAATGTATCCAGGTCATTACAATTATCAATATGATTTTAGAGTCAATGCAGTACAAAAGTAGGGTATTGGTACACAGACACATTTTATGCCATAATTTATTTGAAGACAGTAATTATCTATTTCTAATTTACAAAAAGGCATTTCTGCCACAATTGATTAAGTAGGATTCGAGCATACTATGAGAGCTATTGGAAATTGCTAACCTATCCCTCCTTTTCTTTAAAGAGATATTACAACTGTTTTGCAGGTCACTGCAGCTTGTATCTCTTATTCTATCTAAGTGGTCCAGATGAGACTACTTTGCAGTAGTGGTAAGCAGAAACAAGACCCTGATTTCTGCATTAGTGGTGAAGGGACCAATGTAGAGGAGCGGTCAAAATGCAGTATTGTGAATTCAGTGTTAGTGGCTGAATTTCTGATAGAAAGAAAGTGAGAATATATAAGTCCCTTGCCTATCTTCTCTCTCAGACAGATACCACAAGGACTACAAACAGTGATTGTACAGTATATGTGTGGACAAGCAATTGCTTGTTCAAAGAGTCTTTCACATTGTCCTCTTCTCCAGTTGCTCTAGCACAAGTGCTGTGCTCTTCTTTGCTTCCTCCAAGAAGAAGGAGAGTTTCTCTTGCACCTGCATGTGAAAAGAGATTTAGAATTACATGCTGAATGGAGGAAACGGCTCAGGAAGGTAGGTGCTGGGCTCAGGATGGCCAGAGTGTTTTGCTTTCCTATACACAGAGTACAGACCCAGACCCAGCCTTGGCTTCTGAAAGGCTGCATGGCTTCGGATGTTCAATGACAAGAGAGGATCACCTGGAAGCCCTCTCTGTGGGAGGTTCTAATTTTTGCAACTGTGTTTTTATCTGGCTTTTCCAAAGGTGATTCTTTACTGACAGTGGAAAGAGGTAAGAGTCACAGTGTACACATTAGATGTTGAGCAAATTGTGGACTTATTGTATTAATTGCAAAAATATTTATGGCTATGTTGGAACTGTCCAGAAATCCCTGTGGCCAAGTTGAGGGATGCTAGGAACTATAGTCCAACCACATCTGAAGGGCCATGAATTCTTCATCCCTGCTGTTCCGTTTAGAGCTGGAGAGGGTGGTTAAGCCCAATGGCAGGAAGACTCCTCACCCCCAGCACCAAACTAAATGAAGTTGGCCTTTCAGCCATGGGTGGTCAAGGCATTCTAAGTAACTTAACTGCCTCCACCACCAAACCCCAGCCCTTCCTTCTCGCATTGAACAGAAAGGTCCATACTGCCTGTTGTACTAATGGTTGGCCAAAATACTTCATCTGGCCAAAACAGAAGATGTCTACCTCTTATTCTTCAGCTTCAGAAATCTGGCACTGGAGGAGAAAGAGAGCAGGAACTAAGATTTCAATCCTGTTGACACTTATAGCAGAAGCATTGCAACCTTTTACACATGCAAACTACTACCCTTTAAAGCCATTGCTTGACGTGCTGTTTTCTCACTGCTTTTCAGATATACGTAGGAAATGATGGTCATGCTATACCAGGCCATGAAAAACAGCACAGAATAAATCATGTGCCCTTTCCTACATGGGCTTCAGTTGCTCCTTTTTGTTTCGTCTTCCAGTCCATGTTTGCTCAAAAAATGGAGATCTTTCCTCAGTCTGTACTGCATGTGTTGCTGATCCCCCTGCTTTCTTCCTTCTACAAATCATGCTTGGTTTTATAGCTACTGGCTTTCCACACTGCATTGGTATTGTAGATGGCCACCACATTCCTGTGCAGAGCCCAAAGAATCAGTCGGAGGATTACTGGAACCGTAGATATTCCTACTCTGTGGTTTGGGAAACTCCCTCTCTTTTGGGGGGGTGACTCTCACTGCTAAGAATGAGGTCCGCATCTTGGGGATATATCTGGACCCCGCGCTCACCACGGAAACTCAGGTGGCGTCAGTGGTCCGCACCGCCTATTTCCATCTTTGGCGGATTGCCCAGCTGTGTCTCTTTCTTGATGTTGGTGCACTCACCACCTTGGTCCATGCCCTCGTAATCTCAAGATTAGACCACTGCAATGTGCTTTACGTGGGGCTACCTTTGAGATTGATGCGGAAACTACAAATGGTGCAGAATGCAGCGGCCAGACTTCTTAGTGGGGTGAAGAAACATCAGTATATTACTCCCACTCTGGCCACATTGCATTGGCTGCCCATTCAATTCCACATTGATTTCAAAGTTCTAATGATCACATACAAAGCCCTAAATGGTTTAGGACCTCAATACTTGACAGAATGCCTCCTCCCACCTAGATGTACTCGTATCATCCAATCTAGCCAGGAGGGGTGACTGAGGAGCCTAACGCTGAGGGAGGCCCAGAAAGAAAAAACAAGACACTGGGTCTTCTCGGCAGTGGCTCCCAGGCTCTGGAACATGCTCCCCCCTGAGATTTGTCTGGCCCCCTCGCTGGGCATTTTCTAAAACCATCTCAAGACCTGGTTATATAGACAGTCCTTCCGTCCGGACACTACGTAAATTTTCCCTCTTTATCCTGTTTTGTGTTAATGTTGTAAACTGTTATTTTAATTGTTAATTGTTTTTATTACATATTGTTTTTGTTACATGTTTTGTGAGCCACCCAGAGTAGACTATGTCTAAATGGACGGCATATAAGCTCAATCAATCAATCAATCAATCAATCAATGTTTTTAAAGTCATCATCACTGAAGCAGAAAATGGACGAAGGAATATTCGTTCCTGAAAATTCAGAATTAGCAGTTGGTGGAGTAACCATCCCACCTCCCATGCTGGCTGACAGCAGCTACCCCATGCACACATGGTTGATGAAAACTTACGCAGAACGAGAAACAGACTGCAAATAGAAATTTGATAAAGTATTTAATAAATATAAAAATAATGTTGAACACGAGCTTGGGTCCTGAAGATTGTCAACTTTTTACTGAGGGAGGGAATTCTCCCCTCCCGTGTAAAAGAAATTATCATCCAACCCATTATTAAATCCCCACACAGTTAGCAATGGATGACCTTAACAACTTTCTTCCGAGTGCCAACATGCCTTTTATGGGCAAGGTTATCAAGCAAGTGGTGGTAGCTAACCAGCTTCCGATATATGTAGAGGAGCAGCATTGCCTTGAACCATTCCAGTCTGGATTCAGGGTGCAATGGGGTACTGAGATGACCCTGGTCACACTACGCAATGACCTTTTAAGGGAGGCCAACAGGGCTCGTTGTATCCTGCTGGTTCTCCCTTACCTCTCAGTGGCTTTTGATATCATCAACCACAGTATCCTTTGGGACAGAGTCTCAGAGATTGGAATTAGAGGCCTAGCATTAAGCTGGTTCTAGTCTTTCCTCAAGGACCATGTCTAGAGAGTTCACGTTGGGGATGAGTTGTCAGACTCTTGGATCTTCAATTGTGGGGTGCCCCAGGGGCTGTCAATATCCCTAATGCTGTTTGAACTGCTGGGGGAGGTCATCAGGAGATGTAAGGTGTCATCAGTATTTTGATGACACACAACTCTATCACTCCTTTACCACCTCTGCAGTGAGGCTGTCCAGATGCTTAAGTGATGCCTGGCCAGGGTGAAGAAACTCAAACTGAATCTAGACAAGACCATGATTTCGCTCCTGGGGGGGGGTCCCTCTGAAAGGCTGGGGGAAATCATCCCTAGACTGCCCTCTTGTTTAGGGATCAAGTTTGTAATCTGGGCGTCCTTCTGGACCCAGCTCTTTCTTAAGATTCCTAGATCGCAGTCATGTCCAGATCGGCTTTTAATCGGCTTAGCTTTATTGCCCAACTTCACCCCGACTTAGACATGGGCTGCCTCAGGACCTTGGTGCAGGTATTGGTCATCTCTTGGATCAACTACTGCAATGCTGTCTATGTGGAGCTTTCCTTGTGACTGACTCAGAGACTACAATGGGTACAGAACGTGGTGGCCAGACTGGTGGCTGGTGTGAGCAAATCTGATCATATCACCCCAGTTCTAGCCAGCCTCCACTGATTACCCATTGTGTTCCATATCAAGTTCAAGGTTCTAATGCTCATGTATAAAGCCCTTCACGGGTTTCGGATCACGTTACCTGTTGGAGTGTCTTTCCCCAATGTCATCTGCCTGACCCACCAGATCTTCTCAGACCAGATTCCTACATGTAGCCACCCTGAGAGAGGCCTGAAAGTCATCTACTAGAGGTAGGGCCTTCTCAGTGATGGCACCAACATTATGGAATCAACTCCCAGAGGAGCTATGCCTGGCCCCCTCCATGTACTCAATTAGGAGGCAGTTAAAATCACCACAAGGAAGCCTTTCACATTGGAACTCGTACCTTTCCTCCAGTCTTGCTTCATTCCAAAGATTGGTTTGCGCCATTGATTGTTTAGTTTTAGACCATGATTTTGCTATTTATGTTGTATTTATTGTTTATTGTGGGGTTTAATTCCTTATAAAGAATAGTGTGTTTTGACACTAATGATATAAATCAAAGTAATAAAACAAACAAACAAAACTTTTAGATTTTTTTCTCTATCCTACCTCTTAAAGCACTCTGACAGTTTACAATTTTTTTATTATATAGGCTACACATGGGCCCTCCCGAGCAAGCTGGATATTTAATTTAACAACCTTGGAAGACTGGAAAGCTGAGTCAACTTTGAGCAGACTGTCAGATCTGTTGGTATTGAACTCTGACCATGAGCAGAGTTTTTGTTGCAATGTTACAGTTTAACCACTGCACCATGAGGCCCCAAGGTTCAAGTGTGGTGGCCATGTAGTGGCCATTGTGCCCAGGAATATGACACATGAGCAAAGAAAATAAATTGGCAGATACGTTCACACATGCTGAATCAATAGGGACTGAATTGATATAAGGAGTACATTTTAATGAGACCATGCTGGCCGGGGGGGGGGGGATGGATGGGCAAATAAA